GCTGAGAACCTTATAAATAAGCCAAGTTGTGCCACAAATTTCAGCATTGACTCATTTTCCACCCTTAGTCATGCTCATGGTGTGTTACACTTAAAGGTATTGGAAACGATCTATGTCAGGTCCAGGTAGCCCTCCCTCTGTAAACAGGGGGAATGCCTGTTAGGGCTTGACATTATTTCCATCTGATCTTTCCACCTTTATTTTATCACATGCTTCTCATGTTTTTATATTTTATATTGCAATATTTAGTCTTCCCTCGTTTTCAGCTCTGTTGAGTGAGAGCGAAATGCGTCGGCTGGTCATTTTTTTTTAATCATGAACGGTAAAGCTCATCTTAACGTTTTTATTTTCATAATAATAATAATAATATATATATATATATATATATATATATATATCTCCTGATTAAGTAAAAAAAAATTGCAATTCGTAGATACCAAAGGCGCTTTGGGATAGACAAAGATGTCTTCCAAAAGTTAAGCAGAGTATTAAAAAATAGGAAAAAACTTCGTTGGAAATAAGGAAAAGTGTACTAAACTGTTACGAAGATATCTTTCCTCCTGTATGTCTGTGAATGCTGGACAATCTCCTCAAAGATGAAGTGACTTGAAGTAACAGAAATGTGGTTCTACAGAATGATGCTGAGGATGCCAGGGACCGAAGATGTAAGCAACGACGAAGTTTTAGTGAAAATGGAAACAAAAAGGAAACTTGTACTTAACACCCGGAAGAGACAGTTAATGTTTCTATGGGACGTAATGAGGAAGGAGGGTTTGGAAAATCTGATACTCACAGGGCAGATTGAAGGCAAGGTTCTACGTGTGTCCTCAATAAAGACGTTGGTTAGATGCAATGACTAGACCCAAAAGAGTTGTGAGTTCAATACCAGGCTACAGCAGTGGTGAAACAAAGATCTTGGAGAGTTGAGTTAAAGTGAAATAACTGAGACATCTGAAAGAGGCATGGCACGTGGAACTAGAAAAATCTAACCCCGTGGACGAAATAAAGGGTTCGGTTCGAAATTCCAATGACCTGAAGAAGGCCGAAGCGTACAACAGTCGAAACATTGTGAATATGGCAATGAAGATGGGGATAACAGTCCGAATAATGTAAATAATGTAAGTATTCATAATACCTCATCTCAGAGATCCAATCACCTGAAGAAGGCCGGAGCGTACAACGGCCGAAATGTTGTGAATATGGCAATGAAGATGAGGATAACAGTCCGAATAATGTAAATAATACAAGTAATCATAATACCTTATCTCAGAGATCCAATTACCTGAAGAAGGCCGGAGCGTACAGCGGCCGAAACGTTGTGAATATGGCAATGAAGATGAGGATAACAGTCCGAATATTGTAAATAATACAAGTTATAAATTCTTCTGTTTGGTTGGATTTCGGGAAAATTTTTACTATATTCTCGTCTGTGTGTGTGTGAATATTTGTTAGTAAACACAAACGCAGCAAATAGCCCAAAATAAGGAAATAGAGGTCTTGTGTTCTATCTAAATAGTCATAATCACTGAACGCTTTCCCCTTTTTACCAAAAATTTATAATTACACTTCTCATTCATTCTAAAAGCACCATAATACAAAACCTTGGACAATAAATTTTAAGTTTTTAGCCAATGTATATTTACAACCCCTCGTGTTTTTAGCATATTACATGTCTTGGATATTCCGGCGATAGTTTTCCGGTCGTGGGTAAAATTGATGACTGCATCGTAACATTGGTGATAGTTGAATTTTGTAGGCAAGGCTTGTTTGTTTTTTCTCCCCCCAATTAATTTGTTAACTCGATTAACTTTCAGCTTTTTTTTTCCCCCGGCAATCTCTCTGACATTTGGTAAAACTGATTTTAAGGGAAATTATCGTCACCATGACCAGTCCGTCGGCTGCTTCAATCATCGAGTAGGGGGGTACCTGAGAGCAGAAGAAACAAACTCTGATTCCTCTTCCTCATAACCGTTTCAATGAGCTTTTATATAGCTTGGCGGCGCCCATCTCCTCCTCAAGCTCTTGACCGACATCCGAAGACCACTGAATATGGTGTGGGTCGCCCTCAGTTCGTACACTAGGATCTCGGGTTTTTAATTCAGAGTTGTCTTTCTCCTAGACCGGTTGCCAGCCAAGGCTTCAGGTCCCTGTCTGTTCTACTATTTACCCATAGCTGAAGTGGAGAAGACGTTGATTCCTACGTTTCTCAAGGGTATGAGCACGTAAATCAATGTAATTACGATTTCTCAATCCTAGCCGCTATACATTACGATATTTGGGGGGGATAAATATGACAAAGTGGTTAAAGGTACTATTTGATAATTCCTTTGAGGCGACTGCACGAAAGAAAAAGGGACGCTGAGAATTTTAAATTTAATTATTTTTTTTAAATATCTTTTTAGACGATTTCAATTCGATTTTTTTTTTCTTTTAGCTTGCTGCTATCACTTTTGTTATTAAATACCTCACATTGTGAGTGACGATCTTTCAAGAAAGATGAAATCTAAGACCCTGGACGTAAATTTATTGTGCCATGATCTATCAATTAAACACTTCCCCGGCGTAAACGTGTATATACGGTTTTAACGAATAAACACGTTCAGAACATAACGTTCAAAAACCAGCTATAGACGTGTTTATACGTTGATCTTGATTCATTTTATGTCCTTCAAAGATTGAAACGAGTCCAATTGTCAACTCATACGTCTGATAGAGGTGCTAGCCACCGCTCGGGTACTTCAAGGTACCTCAGGTCAAGGTCAATCTACCTGGTCTGAAATATATTTTATATAGTAATATATACAATAATATGTAAACCACATTAATAGCAATAAACTGTTTTGGGGTTTGTTTTTTTTTAAGTTTTCATTATTAATGGGAGTCCAACGAGTGAGCCATTTTGAAACAGCTAAATATCTTTGCGTTGTAGTAATCATTGGTTCGGACTTCGTGATGTCATTTGCGGCTGCGTGCCATTGGAAATTGTTGGCGCGCCGCGTGTAACACGCGTGCCGTAGTTTGTCGACCCCTGCCATAGATTACACATCATCATAATTATTATAAAACCCAGGTTGAGTGTGTGTGTGTGTGTGTCTGTACGTTTATATATTGGATCGGATTTCCTACATTTTTCATTCGATTTCAACAAAACTTCACTTTTTTTTTGGCAGGTAGTGTTTCTTATTGTCTTGCACGCTTTTTTCTTTATTTTTACATTCAGAATGCTTTACAAATTCCATTTACAAGACAATTGTTTATAATAAAATTCTATTCAATCGGTAGACTCATAACGATTGAAAACAATGTTTTTGTTTCAGTTTGGGTTTGACCAATTCGTAACAAAACAAAACAAAAACTAATTAAGACATGCGTGTCCGTCAACCTTAAACAATAATCTTTGTCAATTTTATTTTTCAATCTTTATGATGGTTGATACTTGATCTATCTCTTACTATTACATCCCCGGGCTCTACTGATAGTACCGTTACGTATGGTTTCTTATTGTAAAACACAGTATTACACATCCGCCATTTGCATCAGTGATGGAAACAAATAACCAGGGATGCCACCATTTAATGTATCAGCTGTTGGACGCGATATGTGACGAAGGGTTACTCGAACACTGAAGTTGTGTTACTGATATTTTATTAGTGTTAATATGCCAAATATGTTCGCCAGGCAAAGGTTTTATGTTTGTCTTCTGGAGGTATGGTGTACTGTAATTGTTAGAAATGTTGTCCCACTTGCTTACAACTCGGTGGTAAAGGTTTGCATCCTCGACCCCTAGTTTTGGAAATACTTTTTAAAGCTTGAAAACTCGACTTATACGCCGCAATTTACGGTAAATAGAAAAAGAAGTATATCTGTTATCCACGGTTCTTGGCCATACGGTCACAGCTACCCGCGGCCAACAGCAGGAATTAACAATTAGTGTTCTTTAGCTTTTAATAGAATAATGAATTTGTATTACTATTTTATTATTTTATATTAATTTCTAGTTTTAGTGGGATATATTTGTGGCAGCCTGGAGATATGGTACATGGTGTACTGTAATTGTTAGGTATGCTGTACCACTTATTTACAACTCGGTGGTAAAGGTTTGCATTTTATATCCGCCATATAAGTCGATCCCTGAGGCGTTGTAATGGTTGGCAAGCTTGTCTTGCTATTAGGTTGGTGCAAAAATAATGACGTAATAATGTCGTTTTTGACGTTGTCAAAACCGACATTATTACGTCATTATTTTGCACCAACCTAATAGAACAATTACGACTGAGTAGTGAGTTCGATCCTCACTGGGTGCCCCATGCTTTCGGCCTTGTGCCACATCTAAGCTACGCTTGGAAAATCACTATAAGTCGACCCCTAGTTTTGGAATTTTTTTTTTTTTTTTTTTTTTAGATTTAAGAGCTCGACTTCACACCAAAATTTACGATATCTTTGACTAATCCTAGTGAAATTCAAACCTGGGTCCCGTGATCCTACATGCTAACCATTTGGTCACGCTCAAATCATTCGCTTTGCCTCTGTTATAGAGGGTGGTCCAAAATTCTTCCTGTTTGGAGAAATTAACATTTCTCGAACAAACTCTACCTTTATTCAGAAAATATACTTTACATGACTGGCATTACTCTGAAAACACATTTGAATGCGCCTTTTTCCACTCATGGTGAATAAATGGCGTTAAAACATCTGGTGTTATTCCGCATAACTGCATTTTAAATATGTGTTCCCTGAATTGATTCATATTTTATACTTTTTCTTCGTACACCATGGCCTTTAAGTGCCTCCTCGTAAAAATCAAGTGTGTTAAGATCTGACGACCTCATAGCCGTTATTTAAGACTACCTGGGAGTTTGCGGGGGGGGGCACGAAATACTATATGCGAGGTCTGTCTGGAAAATGATCCAACGATTTTATATTAACGAAAAAAAAAAATTACCCAAGCCAATGGCGCCTAAGTTCATTTAAAGCACTTCTCTTTGGGAATCACGGGCTAACGACCATATCACATTGAAACACATTGATCACCAAAGTTAAGCAACGCCGAGCCTGGTCAGTACCTAGATGGGTGACCGCTTGGGAATACCAGGTGCTTGAGTGTGTGGCTGGATATCATGTTGAAACACCGCTTCTCGTACGATCACCGAAGTTGAGCAACGTCGAGCCTGGTCAGTACCTAGATGGGTGACCGCTTGGGAATACCAGGTGGTGTAAGCTTAGATGTGCGGGTGGTGTAATGGATTCCTCATTGGAAATTGAAGAGCCGAGTTCGAATTCCAGTCGAGTTCATTATATTCACTTACGCGCAAATACTCTTGGGAAACGTAGGAATCCACCTCTACTCTCCCCAGCTATGGGTTAATTAGTAAGACTTGTATCAGTAAAAAGTCATTATTATCTCCAAAAGATATTTACAATCTAAAACTATTATCTAGGTTTAATTAACCTGAAAAAGGTTGATAAACTGTAAAAATTAATATTGGGAGTTTAAATACTTATTCCAATGTCCACTTTCATTTTCAAAAAGCCTGCAAAGATCTTTCGGAATTGCTATCAACTATCTCGTGTTTTCCTAAAATAATTCATATTAGCAAAATTTGGAGGGGCTAATAATACAAAAACAAATTCGTTAAATTATGCCTTTTTTTTTTTGGTGGGGGGGGTTTCACCTATCGTCCGGTTCACACTCTTCCCCTGTCATTTGAATAGGTTTAACCCTCGTTCCCTGTTTAGGATTTGGTTTCCGGTTCCTTCTAGTCATTTCCATTCTCTTTGACTCCCTTGCGTCTTAGAGGCATTATCGCCTTGCTTGATGTCAATTGGCAGCTTTCTTATAAAATTCTTAGGAAAAATTCGGCATTCATTGACCGAGCAGCCAGTGCTACATCAGCTACATTTGTCACTTCCTGGCTATTTGTGACTGGGATCAAAGTGTTGTATCTGTTCTCCTAATCTCTAATGGTAATATTAACCGTTTCCTTATAATGAAACATACGGCATTCTTTGACCGCGGGGCTGTTGTTACCGTCAGTTGAAAGTTACAAAATCATTCTCTTAAAACAATTTTTCAGGAAAATAGCGTTTAATCTACTAAATGTTATCGCCCGCACCAGTACTTTTTAAGTTAAGGGGTAGATAGAAGGGGGAAGATAACGGTTGACCCAAGACTTGAACAGGTTAAGATTGTAGTGATCGGGAAAGCATCCTCTTGGGAGTCGGTTCCACAAAGCAGGTAGAAGGTTACCGAGTAAGAGGTACAGTTAATGCGGATATGTGCGGAAGATAACGGTTGACCCTAGACTCAAACAGGTTAAGATTGTAATGATCAGGGAAGCATCCTCTTGGGAGTCGGTTCCACAAAGCAGGTAGAGGGTTACAGAGTAAGAGGCACAGTTTATGCGAATATGTGTGGAAGATAACAGTTGACCCTAGTCTTGAATAAAAGGCTGCCTCGATATGGAAATTGCTCTAATTGTTCCAGAGGTGTCCCATCATCATCATAATCGTTGTGGAGTCCGAAAGCGGAAGCCATATTGAATCTCCTCCACAACGATCTTTCAATGGCAGCCATACCTGTTCATTGTTTGACATTGTCTAACCAGCCTTGGCGTCCTCTCCTATGTCTATTTCCAACAGTGTCTTGTATGATGGTCTTGCATAGGCTGTTGTGCCTTGTAACGTGTCCAAAACCACGCCATTTTTCTCCGTTTGACAGTGGCGATAAGAGGTTCCTGGTGACCCACAAAACTTTCAACCCTTTTCCGCAAACTCTTGAATCCTTCTCTCTGTTTCTGCCAACAGTGTCCATGTTTCAAATCCATATAGGAAAATGGAGACTACCAGCGATTTGTACAGTTTGTACTTTGAAAGCTGATTTTGCTCTTCCATATTCTTACCAATTTGACCATCACTACCATGGCTGCGGTAATTCGTGTGCGGTTTTCCGAGTTACAGGTACCTTCTTTAGACAAGATTGTCCCTAAATTTCTTTCTCTAGTGAATTCCCATTCATGCTAATATTGATACAGGTGTTACTGTTTGTGCTATTCACCATTACTTTGGATTTCTCGGAACTGACCTCCATTCCATATACTCAAGCTCTTTCAAAAAGTTTGTTGGTCAAATCCTGGAGTTCACTGTTACTACCGGCTATGAGGTCACTGTCGCCAGCAAAACGTAAGTTACAGACAGATCTATAACCGATAGAGATTGAAGGATCATAGTAGTTCAGGGTTCCTTACACGATTCTCTAGAAATAGGTTGAACAATGTGGGTGACAGTACGCATCCCTGTCTCACGCCGACAGTTGTCCGAAAGAATCCTTTCATTTATTTCCCAGAAGAACTGTGCTGGTGGCATCTTTATATATGCCTTTGGTAGCTTGGATAATTCCATTATCTATATTAAATTCCCTAAGGATTTTCCAAAGACCGCCATGCTAAGCACGATCAAAGGTTTTCTTGAAATCGACAAAGTTGTGGAACACGTCCTTCTAATGTGGCAGGTGTTTCTCTACCAGGATCTTACAAGTGAAAACCTGTTCCATTGTACTTCGACCAGTTCTAAGATCTGCTTGTTCTTCTGATAGCAGTTCTTCAGTTTTGAATTTCAAAGTGATACAGGGCAGGACTTTACTAAGATGACTGATCAGACTTATCTATCTATCTATCTCATGCTGTCTCTCTGTGTGTCTGTCGTGGGCGTTGTTACCTCGCCCAGGCCGCATTTCTCACCCGATTTCTATGCGGTTTTCACCACAAGTTTGCAAATGGCTGCCTTAAGGACATGACACAGCCCGATTTTCAGTTCGGACTCAGGTTCCGAAAAAATCGATAATCGAAAAAATCTGCTTACAGAAGGAATTATTGCATTTCAACCAAATTTGACACCCTCTTAGAGCCTACCTTTAGAAGTGTTGTCCAGAAGTTTCATGACCACGGACCCCTAAACAGCATGGAAAATCGATAAAACCCAAAAGCCGATACGCCCAGATTGCACCTGAACCGCATGTCGGTTTTTAGCGAAAACCGATCGGATTAATGAAGAGGCCACTGGGAGTCACCATGTGAAGTTTCAACTCTGAGCGCCCCCCCCCCCAAACAGAGTGCAAATGGACAATCGGTCAACCCTTAAATATGTTTTTCCGGTTGGGTATTTCCTAAATGCAGATTAATTTAAGGTCACGCTATGCGCGGGAAGAAACAGGTTAGTGCGTGCAGTGCTGTATGAGTCGTACGATTTTTGAATCAAGCACGGGCAACGCCGGGCCATGCTTCTAGTTGTCCTATAATTTCGATACTGCCTGAGGTTTCCTTTCTTTGGCAGGATTATTGCCAATAACTGAAGCGTATCACAGATGGTAATATCAAAATCTGGTAAGATGTTATTTGGGACTGGCTGTTCAAAGACCTTAGTTTTCTTGATGTTTACTGTATGACCAAAACAATGATAAGCCATAGCAAAGTTGTTCATAGACAGATGGAGTTCTTCATTTTGGTTATCATTGGTTTGAGTTATCATCAGCATACTGAAGTTCTGGGATGGGTTGATCGCGTGTTAGACGTTTAGATCGAAGTCTACTAAGGTTGAAAAGTCCGCCATCATATCGATATCTGATGTCAACTCTTGGATCCTGGAAAACAAGGATGCGTCTTGACACTGATTCTATTCTCCTTGTATTTGGCTGCAATGATTCACGAAGTTCCATGCATACACCAGAGTATTAAATAAAGAGTTCTGTTTGAACCTAGAGGAAGGCCACAGGTTACGTCGACAGAAACAGTGAAAAAATGGCAGGAAATTGAAAACATCTATTTGGTGGGATGACGAGAAGCTCTCCGCTCGGCCCAGTATTCTGGTGTTGGTCGTTAAAATACAGATCTTTGGGGGAGGTGTATAGACCGAAAGTTTACAGCACACCTTCCCAGTTTATGAAAGTCTCTCCAACATGCTGCATATTAAACTTCATTTGTGATCTGCATTTCTGTCTTTCAATTATTCTTAACCCACAAGAGGTTTAAGTAGGTTATAGATTTGCCTATAAATAAGTTCTGCAGGCACTTATCACGGTGGCTGGGTAGCAAGTAGCGTCTTTTTTTTTTCTTTTTCCTCTTTCCATATCCATAAAAAGCCGGCCATAAACTATTTTCTAATTTAAGCTCTAATATTTGACGTAATTGCTATCAGCTTCATTCCGCCGTAAACACCACTAAAAAAAAATTAAATAATGATTGGGGATTTTCTTTTTTTATGTTATTTTTTTCCAATTCAAACTTGAATGGAAAAGAAGAAATCTTACTGGTCTTTCAACCGTTTTTTTTTCTTTGCCATGCGCAAGGCCCGAAGAGCCACTCGGGGTAGAGGGTTGTAAAGTAAGAGGAAAGAGGAACAGTTTACGATGGTATGTGGGGAAGATAACGGCCCACAAAGCAATGGTTCATGGAGAGAAACTAGCTGGCGAGAATATACCGTATCTGATGACGCCCGTTGACATGTAATATTAAAAAATGACGGTTGATATTTAAAGTAATTTTGTTGGGCTTATAAAATATCAAGAACTTACTGGGATTTTCTTGTTTCTGTTCAATACTTCCAACAGAACTTGAAATTAATGTCGTCCCGGGAACGATAGGGCCCTGAACGGGGAGACCCTCCGGGAACGATAGGGCCCTGAATGGGGAGACCCTCCGTCCCCACGTTCAGTTATCTTGAAAGCCATTTTCTGTTCAGTTTCATATCCGGAATGTTAAACAAAGCAATTTCTAAAGCGTTGATGGGATTATTCTTTATCCGACATTTTTATTACTATAAACGTTATTTTTTTTTTTTTAGTGGATGCCCGTGTTTGAAACAGACGTCCCGTTTGTCTTTTTATTTCCTTTTTTACGTCTGTCGGCCTACACATTCAAGAAAACGTGATAGAGATAATGTGCCCTTCGGTAATGTTCGAAACTGTGCCGACCATAAAAAAAAGTAAAGTTTGATGTACTTGTTTGTTTGTGCGCATACACAAACTTTCATATATATATATATATATATATATATATATATATATGTGTGTGTGAAAAATTGTCTGTATATATATATATATATAT